TCGCAAGTGGTGCAAGGATGTTCTTTTGCCAAAGGATGTGGAGTCGACCCGTGCTCTTGGCGACGGGTTCATCATCGAGGCTTTGCTCCGGCAGTCGTATCGCGTAAGTGTTACTCATTCGGCCTTTCCCTCTGTTTACTCTCTTTTTTTTTTTTTTTTTTTTCTTTTCTGTTCGACTGACGGCTGGGTGTGCAGGACCTCGCCCTCCAGATGGAACTGGGCAATCGGTTCCAGGGCTTTAGGAACGATATGCGGGCCATGACCGCCAAGCAGCGCCAGACAGAGGAAGCTCTTCTGGAAGAGCAGGCGAAGCAACTCAAGATGGTGGAGGTGCACAACGCCGAGCTGCTGAGGGTCACCCGTCAATGGGAGGAGGAGAAGGGCAAAGTGGCCACGATCGCCGCGACTTCCGTCGCAGATTATAAGAAGTCGGCGGCCTTCGAGGCGGATGTGCAGGCGGCGGTGGCAGCTCGAAGGAGAGAGGTGGCCAAGGAGTGGCTGGCGACCCCGGAGGGCGATGATTTCCTCCTCGACCTGGGCGAGCGAGATTACCGCCTCGGCTTCCGCGAGGCGCAGATGGAGATTCACGCCACCTTGTTGGCCCGCGACCCTTCGTTCACTCCCGAGAGCTGGGGCCTCAAGCCGGTGCTGGACGCTGATGGGCCGATTGCGCCTACTGACCCGGCGACTCTTCCTGCGGCGACGCCTCCAGAGCTTGCCGAGTCCCTTCCTCAGGCGGAGGACCCTTCCTCTGTTCCCCTTGCTGGACCATCGGCGGGGGCGCAAGTTGAAGGGGTCGCCGTCGATACCCCCTCCACTGTAGACTAGGGTCTTTTTAGAATAGACCCTCTTTTTGTAAGGGCTGGCCTCCTTATCGGCCGTATTTTAATAAAGAAACAGTTTTTTCATCTCTTTTCACGGAATTTGTCCTTGGGCTCTTTTAATATTGGCATTCTTCTAAGGCTTTGAACTTTACTTTTTCCTCGCCGAGCTCCTCAGTCAAGGCGACTCTTTCATGCTTCCTCCGAGAAACGACTAAGGGCCTGGGCTCTTGTCTCCCAGCTCTTTCTCGCCGAGTCCCTCAGTCGAGGCGACTCCTTTCCGCTTTTTCTCTTGGAAACGACTAAGGGTCTGGCCCCTTGCTTCCTATCTTTCTCTCGCCGAGTCCCTCAGTCGAGGCGACTCCTTTAGGCTTTTCCTGTTCTCAGAAACGGTTTAGGGTCAGTGCCCCGTTGTTTCTATATATACTTGCCGAGTCTCTCAGTCGAGGCGACTCCTTTTGGCTTTTTCACGGAAACGTCTAAGGGTCTGGGCCCTTGTTTCCTATCTTTCTCTCGCCGAGTCCCTCAGTCGAGGCGACTCCTTTAGGCTTTTTCTGTTCTCAGAAACGGTTTAGGGTTAGTGCCCCGTTGTTTCTATACATACTTGCCGAGTCTCTCAGTCGAGGCGACTCCTTTTGGCTTTTTCACGGAAACGTCTAAGGGTCTGGGCCCTTGTTTCCTATCTTTCTCTCGCCGAGTCCCTCAGTCGAGGCGACTCCTTTAGGCTTTTTCTGTTCTCAGAAACGGTTTAGGGTCAGTGCCCCGTTGTTTCTATATATACTTGCTGAGTCTCTCAGTCGAGGCGACTCCTTTTGGCTTTTTCACGGAAACGTCTAAGGGTCTGGGCCCTTGTTTCCTATCTTTCTCTCGCCGAGTCCCTCAGTCGAGGCGACTCCTTTAGGCTTTTTCTGTTCTCAGAAACGGTTTAGGGTCAGTGCCCCGTTGTTTCTATATATACTTGCCGAGTCTCTCAGTCGAGGCGACTCCTTTTGGCTTTTTCACGGAAACGTCTAAGGGTCTGGGCCCTTGTTTCCTATCTTTCTCTCGCCGAGTCCCTCAGTCGAGGCGACTCCTTTAGGCTTTTTCTGTTCTCAGAAACGGTTTAGGGTCAGTGCCCCGTTGTTTCTATATATACTTGCCGAGTCTCTGGGGACGATTGGCTGCAACCCACGCACTTTTATTCGGATTTCTTGGAATCTTCGATCTCATACATGACTTGTCATTGGCTACTGATAAAATCTTTTCAGATGCGTAGCATTCCATATTCGATCTATAAGCTTGCCTTCCATGGTCTCTAACTTGTAAGTTCCGGCCTGAACTACGGTCGCGATGCGGTACGGTCCTTCCCACTTGACCGCGAGCTTGCCTCCTTCGGTGGGCTGGCTGGCTTGTCGATCCCGCAGCACTAGGTCGCCAACCTGGAAGGTTCGCGGGCGAGTTCTGCGGTCGCGGTATCTTTTCACTGCCTGCTGGTACTCAGCCATTCGCGCACTCGCGGCTTCCCTTCTTTCTTCTAGAAAATTTTTCTCAATCTGCAGGCTCTCCTCATTTGTTGCGTCCGAGTAGGTGCGAACCCGGTGGGTGGGTTCGACCACTTCGACGGGAACCTTGGCCTCAAAGCCGTATGCGAGCGAGAACGGACTCTCTCCCGTCGCTCGCCGCTGGGTAGTGCGATAGGCCCAAAGGACTCGATCAAGCTCGTCCGCCCAGTTTCCTCGGACGTCTTCGAGTTTCTTCCGGATCCCATTGACCAGGGTTCGGTTCACATTCTCCACCTGTCCATTTGCCTGGGGGTAGGCCACCGATACCTTGGTATGCTTGATACCGTGTCGGCGGTAGAATTCGGCGAACGCCTGGCAATCAAACTGTCGCCCGTTATCGCTGACGATGTGCTCGGGCAAACCGTAGCGACAGATCACCTTTTTCTACAGAAAACGTCGACACTGGTACTCGGTGATGGTAGCCAGGGGTTCCGCCTCGACCCACTTGGTGAAGTAATCGATGGCCACGACGCAAAACTTCAATCCTCCCGGGGCGACGGGTAATGGTCCCAACAGGTCTATTCCCCATTTGGCGAAGGGAATGGCAGTGGTGACCGGTGTATAGAAGGTGGCTGGCCGAGTGTCTTTCCTGGCGAATGCCTGACAAACGCCACATTTGGACATCCGTTCAACACAATCTCGCATCATGGTTGGCCAGTAATACCCTTGAACGACTAATTTTCGGGCGAGCGTGTGAGCGCCCTGGTGCGCAGCGCAAATGCCTCTGTGGGCTTCATCCATTACCTTCTCGGCCTCAGGCTTAAGTAGGCATTTCAACAAGGGTCCTCCGAACGACTGTTTATATAGGTCTCCGTCTACGATCCGAAAAGAGGGAGCTTTCCGCCGAACCCTTGCGGCGACTGATGGGTCAGCTGGCAACTCGCATGTTTCCTTGAATCGCCGGATGTCATCTATCCAGAACATCTCCGGGTTTTTCTCTCGATCCCACCCTTCGATGCTTACTTGCTGGACATCTAGCGGCGCCTCTTCGACACTCGGCCGACTTAGCTCCTCCTTCTGGCAAATCTTCATTAAGCGGTCCGGCACCCCTTCCAGGGCGATTTTAGACAAGATGTCGGCCTCTACGTTGTCCGCCCGGGATATGTATTCTATTTCATAAGCTTCGAACCCCTTCAACATCTTGGTGGCACATTCTTTGTACAACGCCATCCTCGCGTTCTTAGCTTCGCACGTACCCGAGATCTGCCCGACCACTAGTCGGGAGTCGGTTTTGACTCGTAGCCGTTCGATTCCTAGACCCTTGGCGAGTCGGAGGCCGTTCAATACTGCTTCGTACTCGGCCTCGTTATTTGATACAGAGAACAGGTACCTTAGGGCGTAATACAGCCGAAATCCCTCCGGGGTGATGAGCACAACGCCGCCTCCGCAGTGCTGTCGACTTGATGCTCCGTCCGCATGCATCTCCCACCACTCGCCCGGGGTGCTTTCCGAGGCACTTTCCTTCTCCTCCTCGCTCGCCGTGCACTCGACCAGGAAGTCGGCCAAAGCTTGGCCTTTGATGGAGGGCCTGGGTTGGTACTCGATCCCGTATTGAGTCAGCTCGACGGCCCACTTCACTAGCCGGCCGGAAGACAAGGGGTTCCGTAGTACACTCCCGAGTGGTTGATCCGTCAGGACCCGGACGGTATGGGCTTGGAAATAAGGCGCCAACTTGCGAACGGTGACCACCAAGGCATACACGATCTTTTCCAGGGCAGTGTACCGTGTCTCGGCAGCTTTCAGTGAGCGACTTACATAGTAAACCGGGTGCTAGACTCGGTCCTCCTCTCGAACCAAACACCGAACTTACCGCTTTGGCCGAGGCGGCGAGGTACAACAGTAAGGGCTCGCCCTCCTGGGGGGTAGACAGTACTGGGGGAGTCGACAGATATCGTTTTAATTCCTCGAACGATCTGTTGGCATTCGGCAGTCCAAGCGAATCCCTCTTTCTTCTTCATGGCTTCGAAGAAAGGCACAGTCTTATCCGCCGATTTGCTCAGAAAACGGCTGAGAGCGGCCAGTCGTCCGGTCAAGCGTTGTAGGTCCTTGATAGTAGTAGGAGGCTGCATGTCGAGGATGGCTTGTACTTTCTCTGGGTTAGGCTCAATGCCTCGTTTGGTGACCATGTAGCCCAAGAACTTACCGCCCTGGACGGCGAACGCACACTTCTTGGGGTTCAGTCGGAGGTTATACTTTATCATTACTTTAAAGGCAGTCGGCTAAATCCTCCGCGTGCTTGTCCTCCTCTCGACTCTTGACGAGCATGTCGTCGACGTACGCGGCCATCGACTTTCCTAGCAGGTGGTGGAATAACCGGGCGACCATTCGGGTGTACGTAGCCCCGGCATTTTTGAGTCCGAATGGCATGACTTGATAGCAATACACTCCGTCCGGAGTTAGGAAGGCGGTCTTCTCCTCGTCTGCCGGGTGCATGAATATTTGATGGTACCCTCTGAAGGCATCCATAAAACTGAGCAACGCCGACCCGGCCGTCTCGTCGACTAGCTGGTCGATTCGGGGCAGAGGAAACGGATCCTTTGGGCACGCTTTGTTAAGATCTGTGTAGTCTACACACATTCGCCACGTCGGGGGCTTGGGCACAAGGACCACGTTAGCCAACCATTCCGGGTACTTGACCTCACGGACGTGTCCGGCTGCTAACAGCGTGCTGACTTCTTTCTTCACAAACTCCCTCTGATCGTTGGCCAAGTATCGTTTCTTTTGCACGACCGGCCGGTGCTCCGGGTCTACGGCGAGTCGATGCGATATGACCGATCGATCTACGCCGGGCATATCTTCTGGGCCCCAGGCGAAGACCAGCCGGTGCTCTTGGAGTACTCTCGTGATTTCCCCCTTTAACTTCTCCGAAAGGCCGACTTCCGATTCTCACTCGCCTGCTTGGCTGCGCTGGGTCCACTTCAACTTCCTCTAGCTCGACGGCCGGCTCCGGGCGTGGTATCACTGTTTTCTTAGGGGGCCTCTCGGTGATCTCATGGACCTGCATCCCACGCTTGCCCATACCTCTACATGCCTGCAGATAGCAGTCGCGGGCGACCTTGCGGTCACAACGCACCGTTCCTATTCCGTTCGGCGTGCGGAATTTCAGGCACAAATGTTCGATTGAGATCAGAGCCCCGAGGTCTTCCAAACCCGGGCGGCCGAGTATGTCGTTGTGTGAGCAGGCTAGATCGACCACGATGAACTTCATGCTCAACTGCTGCGCGTTCGGATAGCTGCCGATTTCCACAGGAAGAGTGATGGACCCTTCCGCCTCCACCGAGTCCCCGGTGAAACCGGCGAGAGGGGTGTTCACGGGCCTGAGCTGTTCTCGGGTCAGCCCCATCTTGGTAAAGGTCTCCAGGTACAGTACGTTGACGCTGCTCCCGGTGTCGACCAGGATTCGGCGAACGACCACACCGTTGATGTCCATGGCGATGACCAACGTGTCTCGATGCGGAGTTTCCCCAGCTGGCAGGTCTTTATCGGTGAACACGATGGGCTCCCGACATGTCTTTTTGGAGCTCTCTTCTCGACCATAGACTGTTCCGACATATAGCTGCCGAGCCCAGGCTTTTCGGGTGTTCGCGGAATCGCCGCCTTCTGGCCCACCGACTATCATGTTAATGACCGGCTTCTGCGCCATTGGGCTTCGTCCTCTTCGGAAGCCGGTGCTTGCCTCGGCTGTTTGCTGAGTCGGCGACGGGTCCCTCACCTCCTCGACCGGTCGACCTTCGCTTCCATTGGTTAGGGGGCGGTGTCCCTTGCTGGATGATCCCCTCCATAATCTTCTTTAGATAGTAGCATTCTTCTGTGCTGTGAGTATAAGATTTGTGATAGCGACAATATTTAGAAGTCTTACCCGTATCCTCGTCCGCTGCTCGGTCGTCCATCGGCGGAGGCGGAGGCGGGGCGACCGCCTGTACTTCGCGGACTGGTCGCTCTGGAACCGGTCGATAGGTGTGACGATGGGTCGGTCATACGGTCGCCTGACCTCGGGTCGCCTTACGGCATCCGAACGCCTTTCTCTCGTTTCCACCCGCGTCCTTTTTCCGCTGGCGGACCCACCGACCTCGCGCTGCCGTTTATTCTTCATGGCCTGCTCTGTGTTGGCCCTCTTATTGGCCATCTGGACAGCCTCCGCGTATGTCGCCGGGCGGTTGTCCCTTAGATCTCGATACAGCTGTCCGGATCGCAAAGATTCAATGAAGAAGGTGAGCGCTGTTTGGTCCTCCACCTCTTCTATCGACTGGATCTCCTTCTGCCAGCGAGCAAGATAGGCTTTCAAGGACTCGCCTTCATCCTGACGGATGTCGCCTAAGTGCGTCAGGTCCTTCTGTGGCTTGATGTTAGCGGCGTAGTGGCTCATGAAGCGGTCTGCCAGTTCTTCAAAGCTGTGGATCGACCCTGGGGGCTGACTTACAAGCCATCTTTGGGCGGGCCCCTTCAGCGTAGGCAAGAAGGCACGGCACATGACCGGATCCCGCACTCCTAGGACTTGCATCTTAGCTTGGTAACTCAATAGATGTTCTCGCGGGTCGCCTGATCCGTCGAATGTGGCTTGCTCCGGGAACTTAAAGTCGTTCGGTATCTTAAAGGCCATAACCTCGTCTGAGAAGGGTAAGGCGGTCAGCAACGTACGTCCTGGAGATTTGGTTTTTCCTTCCATCCGCTCTTTCAGGCTTCGTACCTCCTGTACTAGGTTAGCCACTTCGATCCTCTCCCGGGTGCGATTTCCCGTGGATTCCGTGCTTTCACCGACCTCAGATTCAGCCGGTTGGACGGGGTTGCGGGGAGGTTGCTCCACACGACGAGTCTCAGTCCTGGCTCTTTTGGTTCGGCTCTTCTCTCGTGCAGCTTGTCGGTCGCGGGCGACTAATGGGGCACGACTGGGCTCCTTTCGGCCTAATCGCTCCCTCGCCGACCGACGTCCGACGCTGGGACCCAGCCAGGAATGAACGGATTGCACCGGTTGGCTTTCTGCCCGTCGGCTCAATTGCCGATTGTCTGGCCTCTGAGGCGGTTGCAACTCGTGTTGCAACTGGCGAGTGATGGACTGTTCTCTCACTCCTAGGCTCGCTTCCGCGCAGGCGCGTCCGATTGCACGCAACTGCTCCGGGGTGAGCTGCACTTGAGGTAATTGCGGGCTTCTCAGCGGCGTCGGCGGCGGTGTCGTCTCGTTTTCATGGCTTCGGGCATTTCTTCTATTCAGCTGGTTTCTCAAGTCGGCCTCTCGTCCGTTGTCTTGACGGCTCGACTGTTCCCCGCTTGCAGCCATGTCTGGAGTTGGCCTGATTCAACTATTGTTTCTCGGACTCGCCTCACCCAAGAGGACACGTGACTCTTCGTTTCAATCCCCACAGACGGCGCCAGTGATGGTTTTTGGGTTTTCGGGCCCAAGGAGGTCCAACACAACCTTAAGCTGGTGGATACACCTTTCACAAAAGGGTTTGAGTCTTAGTAAAATATGATGCTTAATAGTACTTGTCTATTCCCTCTCCGGGTTTTTGAATCTGCCTCCTACAAGGGTGGAGGAGCCCTCTTTATAGTGGCTCCTCCTCTACTGACTTAAAGGCTTATTATGGCCGACTTAAAGATTACATTTAATGTGCCGAGCCGTTGGGCGATGTTACGGACTCTGCCAACGGCTCTCTTTGGCTAGTAACTGGCGGACCGAGCCCGGCCTTTAATGCCTCAACGGCTCCTTGTCTTAACTGCGTTGAAGGCTCCCTCAACGGCTCTCTGGACCGAGTCCTCTCCTAGGTCGGGCCTGGGCCGACTCCTCGTCCCCGTTTGGCATTGGGCCGTCCTTCCGGTCTCTGAACTGGGCCTCCCTCTTTGGACCTGGGCCGAGTCCTGGACTCGGCCCATGCATTCTTTCTGGGCCTCTTTTCTTGGGCCGGGGTTCTCACCCCATCACTTGTATTCATGGTTCGCGTAAGGAATCATGTGGTATGTTTGGAATACATGTTAATATTCCATCTCCATTATATTTTATTGCATCATTATATTACATGTTTTACATGTCATTTATAAAAAGTGATTGTTAATTAAAATACTTAAACCATTCGCGTAAATTGAAAATCGTATTCTAAAAAAATCATTATAATTACATTACATGTTCATCATATATATAAAATTGAAAAAATACAGAGAAATAACCATTTATCTTCTTATTAATATTATTATCCACCTTCAATTCCAAACCAGCCTTCCATTCCCTGTGAAAGCTTCACCTCCATCTCCAAAGTAGAAGAACAAATTAAAGTCTATTAGCTAGGGGTATTACAGGGCTTGTTGAGGGTACCTATCAAGGCAATCGAGCCAAGGATTAAACCTGGAAAGCTTCCCATCAGCTTCACGCAGCGCCACCCACACGGCGCTGTTGCACTTAAACCCCGACCCCAACGCCAGTTGCCATACCCGATTTCCAGGTTTCACCTTCTCCTTCGCCTCCAAATACGCCAGCTCGTACCATATGCTGCTGCTACAAGTGTTCCCGAAGCGATGCAACGTCGCCCGGGACGCCTCCATGTTCTGCTCGCTGAGCCTCAGGTTCCTCTTCAGCTCGTCCAGCAACATCTTGCTCGCCGCGTTTATGCAGAAGTGCTCGAAAGCGATGGTGTAGTCCGGGATGTATGGCTTGGTTTTAGCTCCGAATAGCTTTCTCCGGATTAGGGTTTGGAAGAAGTATAACTGCTCCGTTAAAGGGAGGACTAGTGGCCCTAGTGTTGTGATGTTTGCCTTGAGAGCTTCTCCTCCTACTTCTACCAAATCTTTGCTGATTTTCAATCCCTTTATGCGTTCAACATCTTCTTCTTGGTAGATAGACCTGCACAATAATATATGCATGCATATATAATTTGACTACTCATCAGAATGTGCAGTTTAACTATTAGTACTGTGGGGCGATAGCCGGTACATGAAGGGTTATGTTCAACAATTGATGGTAGAGTAACTATATAAAAAAATAAAATTTTGCTTCCACTATGAGCTATAACTTTTGATGGACTGGTAATTGAAAAAAAGAATTAAGACTAGCAGACATGGGACAAGGGTGTTGGAGGTACCTCTTTTTTTTTTTTTGGAATAAGGGTCAAATAAGCCACTGAACTGCACACAATAATGCAATTAGGCCACTGAACCTAAAAAATCTACAATTGGGTCCCTAAACTAATCAATTTCATTCAATTTGTCCATTTCTCAGGTTTCTCAAGTTGCTAATAGGTTACCCCTCCACCTAGGATGCATATGTGGCATTTTAAAAAAAAATTATTTTTAAATTCTATTTTTTGAACACCTTAAATTAGTTTTTTTAATGTTTAATAAATAAAAACTAAAATAATTTGTTTTTTTTTTTGAAAATAAAATCCAAGCCTTGTACGACTTAACAAATTATTTTATTTTCAAAAAAAAAAATAATTTTATTTATTAAACATTAAAAAAACTGATTTAAAAATAAATTATTTTAGTTTTTATTTATTAAATATTAAAAAAACTAATTTAAAAATAATTTTTTTTTTAAAAAAAATGACACATATACATCCTAGGTGGAGGGGTAACTTGTTAGTAACTTGAGAAACTTGAAAAATGCACAAATTGAATGAAATTGGTTAGTTTAGGGACTCAATTATAAATTTTTTAAGTTCAGTGGTCTAATTGCATTCTCGTGTACAGTTCAGTGGTCTATTTGACCCTTATTCTCTTTTTTTTTTGAAAATGTATTGGTCAATACTCTCAACCCGCACCTGCTAGAGTGCTAGTGTTAAATGCATAGTTTTTTCTTTTCAATTACCAGTATGTTAAAATTATAGCTTGTGCAAAAACATGTTAAGCTAGGAGGTGTGGGCTGGGGTGCTGGCAGATACTTTCATTTAGTTAAGATAAAAGATATTATTAGTCACGAAGTCGCTCTCTCATATAGGAGGTTATGAATTCGAGCCTCAATAGAACAATTTTAACAATAGTTATTATGTAATTATGAACAAATACTGCATTGTAGCAGAATCAATAGTATTAAAAAAAAATGACATTATTATATTCATAGATTTGTGAATTTAGGGTGGTAGCTATAGGTGAAGAAACAAACCTAAAAGCACGGTCTTTTGCGCCTTGATGAGTACGGACAATATGTTGAAGGCGGTACTTTGCGTGGCGGTAGTCGCGGCGGCGGTTAGAGAGGAGGACGGCGGAGCAGCCGGTACGGAAGAAGCAATTAGGGATGAGCATGGAGCGGTGGTTGCCGGAGTACCAAGTGGCGCTCACTATTTCGGTACTGACCACCAAAGCGTAGCGGTTGGGGTTTGCTCGGAGGATGTCACGTGCCAAGTCCAAGGCGATGATCCCGGCGCTACAACCCATCCCGCCCAGATTCGTACTTACAATGTTCCTCTTCATCTTGTAGTGGTTTATGATCATCGCCGACAGCGACGGCGTCGGGTTAAACGTGTTGCAATTCACGACCAAGATTCCGATGTCTCTCGCCCTTATTCTTGTCTTCTCCAACACTTTGTCGATTGCCTCGAAAATGAGCTGCGACGCCTCGCCTCGAATGTTGTTCAGCTTCTTAATCTTTTCTGGGCATCCAATGGACTTGGGGATATACGTCTCGTCTCCAATTCCTGAAGATTCCAGCATTCTCTTTAGATATTCTAAGTTTTTTTCGTCAAATGTTCCTGATTTTCGGGCAATGTCTATGAATTGATCCTTTGTCACCTGCCACACAATATAATGTAAAAGAAACCATATATAAATAAACTATAAGCGTTGAGAAAATATTACTTTTGGTCCCCTAACATATTACATATGAATCACATTTGGTTCTTGGCTATTAAAATTTTCTAATTACATGCATGACTATGTAATTTGTATTACATTTGATCTTGTTGTCTAATTTTCAGGTCAACTATTGTCGGGAGTGCTCCTTCCGGAAAGAGCACTGCATTTGCTTCTTCCGGAAGGATCATTTGTGGAAGAGCATTATTGCATTTGCTTATTTCAGAAGGAGCACTTTCGATAATAGTTGGCCAGAAAATTGAACCGTAGAACCAAATGTGATACAAATTACATAGTCATACACTTAATTAAAAACTTTTACAGGGCGTTTGGTTAGGAGGGGAAAATTAAAGAGGACAAGAATAAAGTAGTAATTTAAATTACATTGTTTGGTAGAGATTAATATAATGATTGAGAATTGAAATAGAATAAGTGAATAAATACTAAAATGTCCTTGTATAATACTAATATAATACTAAGAGGAAGGGTAAAATAGTCATTTACGATTGAATTACAATTCCATGGTGGGAGGGAATTGCAATTCCCTCCCATCAAACCATGGAATTGTAATTCCATATAATTTAATAGGAACGGAATTACAATTTCATCTTATCAAACACCCATTAATAATTAAAGACCAAATGTGATTCACGTGTAATAGTCAAGGGACAAAAAATGAAATTTATTCATAAGCTAATTAAGATGATGAGTATTATATTGAACCTGATA